ATTGTTTTCTGATGAAAAATACTTCGATCTGGACGGTATATACAATCGGCAAAATGGTAGAATCTGGGCAGTAGATCGTGATGAAGCTGATGCTAACGGTGGAATCAAGCAAAAACAAAAGTTTCAAGCAAAAGTCATGGTGTGGTTAGGTGCTTGTTCGAAGGGAATTACACCAGTGGTAATTTTTGAAAATGGCACCATGAATCAACAACGTTACATTGATAAAGTGCTTCCAGTTGCTAAAAAATACGGTGATAAACAATTTGGAGATGATTGGATATACCAGCAGGATGGAGCCAAGCCATACACGGACAAACTTTCAATGGAATGGTGTTACGATAACATTCCTGCAATAATCGACAAACAACGTTGGCCACCAAATAGTCCTGAACTCAATCCCTTGGACTATAGTGTATGGACTGAATTTGTACAACAAATTAATTGGAATGTTGTACGATCGAAACAAACTTTAATTGAAGAACTGAAACGATCTGTGAAAAAAATTAGAACAGAAACAGTTTTAAAAAGTTGGAAAAGTTGGACCAATCGATTGCATCGTTTAAAAAGAATTAACGGAAACTATTTTCATTAATAAAAATATATTTTTTTGTAGAGAATTTCAAGGGGAATCTAATAAAAAAAAATGAAGTCGATTGGATGAAAACTAACAGAGTTATAGCAAAATTAAAAAAGTCAGTTTATTTCTGAATCACTCGTTATTATTTATTGTATATGTATTCTAAGGAAAGATAATGATGAATGGTCATTTTTGAACATACATTTATAAAAGATCAGACAAAACTGAATGTAATTTTGAATAATAATCAACATCCATCGGTTTTGAGTGTTAGAGATTTTAATGATACTATAACAGAATATCTCTTATCTTCAGTTAAAGAACATTTGACCGTAGTTAATGCTGAAGCTTAAAATATATTGATTATTGTTCGTCGACCATGTTTTGGCGAGCATAATTAAATGAGCCGTTAAAAGAAATTGCTTTTACCTATTTGTGCGCGAATATTGTTTACAACTGGCAACTCGCCTTATGTTTTACCAAACGTTCAGCGTTAATGGAAAAACTGGCTGAGTAAAAACGGTAAAGATTTCAAAGCTGTTGACATATTAACAAACACACATTAACAGAAAATAATCTTGTTCTTTTTTTGTTTCACTAACCGAGCATATGCACAAGATCTAAATAAAGATTCCCACGTGTTCCCGACTAAAGAAAATAAAACTCGAGGAGAAAATTGCTAGAAGCTAAGTATAGTCTTGCACGAAAGCATCAAATTTTAAGCACAAACTAATAAAACGGACTATAAGTGCTGCACATTGCTTGTTATTCTCTATATGGGCTGCATACTCTCTCAATGGCCAAATCGAGCTGCAGTAAGGAGAATATCAAGGTCAAACAAGCGTAAGCGATCTTTCATCCGTGCTCTACGCATTGGAAAGAGCACCAAACGTTGTGTTGCTCGGTTTTTGAACTGACTCCTTGGCGCTTATGTTCGATGCGTTAATAGATCCTGTCCATCTAACTCATCACGTCTAAAGTAAATAAAACCTTTCTGGCTAATTGATAATCTAACCATTTCTTATCATCAGTATATAAACACAGTATATTATTGACCTTGTAACAATAAATCTGGTATTGCGTTTTAAATTCTCAATTTTCTGGTTCATTCATGATATTCACTAATTTC